GAGATTTTTGAATGAGAGCTAGTGTTTCTAATAGCTTTTGGCATTGATTTCGAATCTGAAATTAACTTTTTCCGAAGGACTTGCATCACAAGATACCGTATTTTCTCAACAATACAGTCCGTTTCATATTTCTTTATCCACCCCCCAAAAAGAGGTTTTATGGAGAATGGGTGGAGATATCGAGCTATTTTCTTTTGCAATAGAAAGACCATATTGTAAAACCCTAAAAAACACCGTTTTTGGGTTACTGGATTTTCTCAACAAAAAAAAACTAAGAAAGAAGATTCTGCGACCGTTTCACATTTCTTTATCCACCCTTAGGAACTCTGAAAATCAACATTTATTTGGCATTAACAACAAATAAAAAAGACATCAAGAATTGTGAACATAACAACTAATAATCTGATATAGCACCGGACCGGTTAATAACTTGATAGATTCGCTTATTCATACTTTTGATAAGGTTTTGGAGAGCCGTGGCGTCAATACGATTCCAGGCAATCTGAATTGATGCTTTTAGTTCCGAAACGGTCGTAAATTGTCTCTTATGTTTGTAAACATCCCTGACAAGGATTCCCCACAGGTTTTCGATGGGGTTAAGATCCGGGGATCGTGCTGGCCAGTCCAAGATGTTGATTCCCTGCGAAGTCAACCAGGCTTTTGTATGAACGGAGCGATGAATTGAAGCATTGTCATGCTGAAAAGTGTAGACAGTCGCAACATTTTGCTGAATGAAAGGCAGAAGAGTGACTTTGAGCACTTCAGTATAATCTTGACTGTTCATTTTGCTGGAGACAAATTTCAAAGCGACCGTTCCATTGGCGCAAAAGGCTGCCCAACACATCACACTTCCTCCTCCGTAGTTACGCGTTCCGAAGATCAGTGGATCCTGTCGCAGGTCTCTCCAGTAATGCGAAACACCGTCTGGTCCGTCAAGATTCCATTTTTTTTCATCAGAAAATATCACCTAAATAAAAACCGTTATTTCAGAGTACAGCATTTCCCAACCTTGCTCCAATCAAAGTTCATATGATTTGCGGCAAAGTCTAGACGGGCTTTCTTGTGCTCTTGCTTTAAGGCAGGCTGTTGATTTAGGCGTTCACGATCGATATGAGGATTTTCTTTAACGGCACGCCAGATAGTTGTCTTCGAAGCAGCGATTTTCAGCTTATTTTTGACCTCATTGATAGACTTTCCATGAATTGAATTCACAATGTGACGCTTAGCTCGAGATGTAAGCTGAGGTTTGGACCCAGTCTTCTTTTTAGGAGTGGTCACGTTCTTGTTCTTTAAATAACGTCGAATGCAATTGTGATTGCGGCCCAACAGCCTTGCGATTTCTCGAATACCCTTCTTGTCGATCTTGTAGGCATCGATCTGTCCCTTCTCGTAATCAGAAAGCACTTTCCAACGTCCCATTTCCTAAAATGACGACAAATGATTAAAAAAATTTAAGTAAAGCAAAAAAATGAATAGTAACATCAAATAAGCGTTGATTTTCAAAGTTCCTAAGGGTGGATAAAGAAATGTGAAACGGTCGCAGAATCTTCTTTCTTAGTTTTTTTGTGTTGAGAAAATCCAGTAACCCAAAAACGGTGTTTTTAGGGTTTTACAATATGGTCTTTCTATTGCAAAAGAAAATAGCTCGATATCTCCACCCATTCTCCATAAAACCTCTTTTTGGGGGGTGGATAAAGAAATATGAAACGGACTGTATGGCACTCTCTAATATTACTAATATTCTCTCTCACTCTACGGTAGCTTAAGCGTTGTTTAAACTACCATTTAAAACGAGGTAGCGATGTTTTCCGAGGGAAATCGCATTGTTGAGCTTTTTGCTTTGCGCAATACAAATGCACTTTTCAGTTGTTCATCTCGGTTTCTTGTTCATCCGATTCATGGCTATATTATAGGGGAGGCTAGTTTCCGCAACTTTTTTTGCGCAACTGGGCTATTTGCGCAACTTGCCATAACTTTCTTATAAGTGGGCCAATCCTTATGATTTTGGTTTCATTTTGTAGATCTCAATAAGTGCAACAAAATGAAACCAAAATCATAAAGATTGGCGCACTCAGACAGAAAAAAGTTATGGCAAGTTGCGCAAGCGACCCAGTTGCGCGAATGATCTTTTGTGCAAAACAAATTGCGGAAACTAGCCTACCCCTATAATATAGCTAATTTACCTTCAAATAGACTAAATTAATTGACGTAAATAGTTCATAAAGAGTTTTTATCTGACTACCATTTTCAGCCTTTAACAATTTTGTCTTTGGTGTCCTTGGTTTTCATCGAACTTCGTCATCGCATTAACGAGACAGTAACGAAGATTTATTTTGAATAATTGAAAACCTTGAAAGGATACTGGTTTTGAAGAGATCGAAGAGATTTGGCTTTATCAAAATAAGCATAACGTGTTGTTGCCATCGCATAGGTGAAAAGATTCAAATAGATTTTTACTCTTTTCATAAATTTCCCCTGAATTCTTACCAACATTCTGGCTGAAGATGTGGCTATTTTTGACGAGGTATTGATTCAATTCTTTTCCAGAAGTTATCTCCAATAAAATGAGCACAATAACTACGGTAAAACGTTTGAATGTCAAATAAAATGTGACTCAGACTCGAGATTCTTCATGTAATCCGACAAGACAAGAGTCAAGACACAAAAGTGGAAAAAAAACTGCTAAGACTTCGATCTCTCGAGAGAAATCGAGCACTAATTGATCATCAATCACGTTTTTTTTTGAGTAGAATTTCAATCGGTTCAGAAAATCGTTTAAAGTATTGCATTTCTACTTAAAATTTGAGCAACATAGATCCAATTGTTGTGTAGCGAACAAAAAGAGCTAAGGTTTGTTGTCAAGATTTGTCGTCAGATTTGAAAGTCAATTGAATGATCATTGGGAAATGACTCATTGACTCATTTTCACTTAAAGTTTAGAAAGAAAAGAAAAGAAATGAAATGATTTCAAATCAAAGAGATCAAGGTTGATCAATGATCTAAATGTTGTCTCTGTTTGAAATTTTCTAAAAGAGTAGGGTCTTAGTATTGATTAAAAATTAGGCCAAGTCAAAACATAGCCAAATCTTGACAGAACTCTGAATAGCAGACAAGCAGCATAGCGGACAAGTATTGCGGTTTGCGATTTGAATTGTAATTCAAGATGTTTTACTAATCTAGAGCCCTAATAGTATAAGAAATTTCAAAAAAATTGAGCAATTATTTCCGCGTGGATTTATTTCAATTAATATGCAACTCATCATTTTCTCCCGCTTTCTTTTGGCTTTGATTTCAAGGTTATTTTTGATTTCTTGAAGCTGAAATAAGGTGTACTTCTTTATTACTGTTCAAACTACATCAAAATGTTGTCAGAAACAATGCTTTAGCTGTTAAAAGGCTTCAGCGACGTAGCGACTCTCAGCATTTTCATTCAGGCTCTAGGGTGTTGGTTGCTTGCAACGTGTTTGGTGACCGGAAAGCATTTTGAACGTTTTCTCTCTAAGAGAATCGCGACTTGTTTTCATATCTGGTTGATCCTGCCAGTGACGATATGCTCATGTTAAAGACTAAGCCATGCATCTCTTAGTTCAGCCCTTTTACGACTAGACTGTGAACGGCTCATTATAACAGTTAAAATCCTCGTGAAATTAGCATTTTGGATACTTCTAGTAGTTCTGGAGCTAATAAACGTGTCATGCACTTGCCACTTAACGTACACGTGTCACTGCGTGTACTCTTAATTCTGGTACTTAACAAAGATGACTGACACAGGGATTTTACTGTACTTTGCTTTACTTCAAGAAATCCCTGATGGATCCAAACCTTGAAGCGTACATTTTGATTCGTCTAGACTACATCAAACTGTTTCAGTTGTAGTAAAAGAAATCAGTAAGTAGGTATTTCTGGCCGTCAAACTAGACATTTCAATTTTGGCATCATTTTTGAATTGAACTAAAATATTAAAAAAACCCATTAAAATCCCTGCAAACTACTCAACTGTTGTAGTGAATTATCGAAAAAAATCTCGTTGTTTTCCATTTCCATGTTCAATTTACGATGACATTGGAAATCTTTCCATTTTTGATTGTTTCAAAAGAGAGATTCAATGATCGTTTCACTAGGGAATTAACTTTTTTTCTGAAATCATGAGTGCTGAGTGTAAATTGGTCTCCTGTTTGAGGGGAAACTCCTAATCACTAGAGGGGAATCCACATTTTCTACTTAAGAAATTTCACAACAGCTTTTTAACAGTGGCCACTTTAAATACGGGTTCGCGCTTGGCTTTGAAAGTTCAACTCCAGGATTTACATGGCCTGTAAGTTTTTTGTGAATACTTTTTCCATTACAGTACCATGTCTAGTTTTTATAATATTTTGTTATTGTGTAGTACAGTAATTTAGCTAATGACAGGGTTTCTTTAGATAGGATTCCAGATGTAAGAGAGCCAGGCCAGGATTAGGCCAGGATTAGGCCAGGATCGAGCTTGGCCTGGCCTGGCCTGACTTCGCTGTAGACTTAATTCATTGAAATTTTGTAGTTGCTTGAATACTTTTCGGTACAGTAACCAGTCCACTTTTTATCCCTATAATACAAAAGTAACGGTTTAATACAAGTCTTTTAGTATTCTCCTATAATAACGACCAATATCTGTGGTTGATCATTCACGCATGGGTTTTTATGATCGGATCATTGTTGCTTAACATAATTGCTTTATATTTGGCGACTTTTCACTCTCATCAGGTAAATTTACAGCTTTTTTTTGAGCCAGACAAGGCTAGAATAAAGCCAGAAGTCTGCTGCAAGGCGATAGGGTTTAGTCCTGGCCTTAGTCAAGGTCAAATCCACTTTAGTCAAATCAACGTTTAGAATATTGGCAAGTATCGATATATTCTGTACAGCTTTTTGTGGTTCAACGTGTTTTTCTCAATCCTAAATTCATTTTGCGATTTGGTGAGTTGAGATTAGCAATGTGAAAGGCTCAAGTTTTTCAGGAATTAACCATGTCGGGTCGTTCGCTGATATTGGTCGGCACGGTTAATTTGAACGATGAAACGACATCGATTATCCTTTTTTATCTCACAACTTTCACTTTTTTTGAGACAGTTCTTCTAGCAACCGGGCAAATCGTGCATCGTTGTTTGATCGTTTATGGGTGAATTTTGCGGAAAGAAATAATTCTAATTAGATGACGCAAAGTAGCAATTTGTGTCCGGTCCTGTTATTCAAGTTAAACGTTGATTTTTTTTGTTTTTGAAAACAATTCAAAATACCAAAATCAAAGATAGAATTTTCCCCTGTAATTTGCTCAGATTTTCAGGTTCATTTGAGCAAAATTCAATTTAAAATCGAATTTTTATTTATTTACAAAATGAGAAAATAATTGGTGATTTGAAATTGGTCAAATGATCAGTACTTTAAATAAAAATCCCTTCTGAATCACGAGATTTGATGAGAAGAGAAAGAAAATGACACAATCAGAATTTGAATGGTGATTTGAAATGAGTCAAATCGTAAAGCTCTTTGAAATGAGCTCTTTGGTGATGTCGGATTTTCAAACTGAGTTTGCTGAGGTGATTTAAGTGGTGTAAAAGATTCAGAAGTTCATCTGACTAACGCTAAGATCGAATTTCGAAGGATTTTCATAAGCAATTAATGTTCACAAGCAATGTTTTATGTATTAATCAAAAAATTTTCAGCAAAATTCGTCCCGAGAACACGCTGCTTGGTGCTGTCGGTGTGTTGTTTATTACATTTTTGGTTCTTGCCCTCTGGATCGTTCTCTTCATCGAAACGAGTATCACTACATCGATGTGTGTCAACAAATTTGATGATTATCAAAATTTTACGGTAACTTTTGAAAAAGATCATTGGAAAATGAGAAATGTACATTTTTCAGTTAACCAATCTAGTGGTATGCGAAGATTTTATGGACCAACTCAGCGAAAACTATAACTTCAACACCGCCTCGTTTGTGTCGATTCCGTTTGAGGTTTGTCTTCTTTAGGCCCATGAGCTTATCGTTTTCTTTTAATAGAATAATAAGAAAGATATCTTGATGGAAATAAGTTTCGAAGTTTCTCTAAAAGTTGATCCATCTAAAAGCTTATCGTTTTCTCTTGATAGAAAGAAAAGAAAGATGTTTTGATGGAAATAAGTTTCCAAATTCTTCTAAAGGTTTAGCCCAATTAAACTCGAGTTTCAATTGGTAGACTCAATAAAATGAATAGCTCCAATCGAATTGCCCGATCCCGAAAACCTCCCGTACAACTTTACAGCTGAATTTCTGTTTGTACCATTTACTATAAATCACTATAAAAGGGCCACAAAGTGTTCTTTGGGTGTGCGCACAATCGCTCTCCATCTGGCAAACTGCTTTGGTATAAAGGCTTCCCTTTTGCAATCCTCAAAGCAGAAGGTGAAGGAGAAGGTGAAGGTGAAGGTGAAGGTGAAGGAGAAGGATCGGTGAGCGATTGAGCCGATTTCCCCTTTTTTGGCGTCACTATGCTCAAATTCCTGGGAAACCCTTTGCCGCTACTTTGTTTGTATTTTTCGGCAAATTCTGCATCCTTTTAAACCATTGTTTTACTTAAAAGCGAACAAATTGAGAGAACGACCTGACTTGGGTGTTTTCCGATTTTCTAGTTGAAGTTAAATTGTTATTTAATTGATAGTTGAGTAGTATTTTTAGCTTTTGGACGAAACAACGAATAAATTCTCTGCAAACATTCGAGCTCTAATGCTTTTCATTCTTCTTTGCTTTCTGCTAATCGGCTCGATTGTGATCGTGATTCTGTGCACGTATTGGATTCTAAAAAAAGTGATTTTTGAAAATTTTCAAGAATTTATGAATAGAAATTGGATGAAGCGAGATTTTAGTCGATTCAGATTCAATCGTCGAAGATCAGTGTGGTACAGCGGAATTTGCACGCCGAAATGTTGAAAACTCTGTTGGGACAGGTCGGAATTGAAATTTTAGACGACAAAATTAGACAAAATCGGAAAAGTACAAACTTTTCCAAGAAACATTTATGAAAAAATCACACAAACACGTGTCTGTACCTGTAATTGTAAGCACAAAAGAAAGAAAATAAAATGATGTAAATGGGCAAAAAAAATAGTCTGATTGATTTTGGCTGAAAGTCTGGTAATCACAGATTGGAAAGAGTTTACTTGTCAAAGTGATAAAATGAAAATTTCAAACTAATTCCCATAAGTAATTAATGAGTTCTGTGAAAAAGCTTTGTGAAATTGAAAATGCTTTTGATTCCTCTTTATTTTCTGCTAGGCCTAGCATCTCTAATTGATTTTAAAATGTGAAAAAGGCAAAATAAAATCAACTTTTTAAAATATTAGTCAAAAAAAAGAAAGATTTTCCTTTAAAACTAGTCGTTTTACGGTCAGATTGGATAAGAGCTCACCATTTTTAAGCATTGTTAAAATTTTCGTCAAAGAAATATCAAAAAATCCAAACGGCTTCGTGGACAATTCACCCAGAAAAAAACGGATTTTCAAAACAAAAATCTTTTTATAAAGAAGCATTTCTAGGGTAAAAATAGTCAAAGATTTCAAATTTGTGGTCCATTTTTCACTAACTTTCTGGCTTCGAGCCGTACAAATGATTCTTGAAGAGGGGACAGAACTTTTCACCTTGTATTAGGTACATGCATAAGAAATGCGGATTTCAACATTTTCATAAATTTCCAACGATAGAAACCTGATATCGATGAATGTTATAAACTATTTGAAAGTTGCAAATCTCCTCTACAAAATAGGCTAAAGCGTGTTTCAATTGATCGAACCATTGAAGAAATTTCGAGGGCGAAATGCGAGTGACCAAAAAAGGGAATCGAGTCACTTTAGGGACAAGTTTAGTATGGTCAAAATAGAGTTATCTTCCCAAAATTGAAGATCAAAAAGGATAACTATAAATGAATTCATTAAAAAAGTCTAACGGAAATGCATTTACAGAAATTTAGATAGAGCGTACGTTCAAAACCCTCAAAATTGTCAAAAAACCGGCTTTTTCACAAAAAAAAGAAAAATTATTGTAAAAACAAAGTTTTCCCATGAAATGATCCCAACTCTTAATTATTTTGAATGATATTTGAATGATTTTGAATGAAGGGCGCTCATTTTCCACTATATAGTCAAAACTGAACTCTTGTGAAAGTGGGATTTTCAAGAAGTGTCCTTTTTTTGGTCACTCGCATTTCGCCCTCGAAATTTCTTCAATGGTTTGATCAATTGAAACACGTCTTAGGCTATTTTGTAGAGAAGATTTACAACTTTCAAATAGTATATAACATCCATCGATATCAGGTTTCTATCGTTGGAAATTTATGAAAATGTTGAAACCCGCATTTCTTATGCATTTACCTAATAGTTTCACAAAAAACATGACAACTTTTTACATATTTCCAATTGCAGGCCCTTTCCCCTATCCTTCTCCTTCATCTGCCATTATTGATCTCTTCTATAGCTACTGTTATCGATAAAGAGCTCAATTGGATGTATTTCTCTATGTATTTTACTCTTGCTTGGTTCCCAGCTGTACAGGTAAAACAAATCTTTTACTTATAAACAAGATTTTTCAGCCAATCGTCCTAATTTTTGGTGTCGGCTCATATCGGAAGAAAGTTCTGCAGCTTTTCGGTCAGATTTACATGAATTGCTTTTAAATCATTAATTTTCAGTGCTTTTTTTACACGAAGCAAGAATTGTTTCAAAAATTCGACTCTCTAAGCTCTCGTCAGTTAGCCTAAAAGAAGACACGACTTTGACGCATTCATCCAGAATAACAACATCAGTTCATGGACATTAACCTTATGAATTTCTTGGCATTCCTTCAGAATCAGGAAAATAAATACGGGTTTTTCTTGATGATTTCGTAAAGAATGTTAGGAGTTGTGCAGTTGAGAAGTTTATTCTTGATATACCGGGATTAGTGCAATGAAAATCTCAAGAAACGAAGATTCATTCATTCAAAGAACGGCTGATGGTTGGCTTCAAGCCTGGCCTAGCTCAATCCTTGCCAAATTTATAGAACAAAAAGTAGAAAGATTTGTGGTGAAATCGAGGAATTGAAAAGTGTTTTTTTATGTATACGTGGATTTTGAGCTCCCCGGCTGATGCATGGTTCACAAAATCATCAAAAAAATCAACTTCATCTTGTTGTGTGACGCCTGAGGCAAAACCATTTTTGCAACCACGATAAGCCTTGTAAAGTCAACGAGAAAATTTCTCCAGATTCAAAACGATGACCATTTTTTTTCCGGACACCCTGTATACTTTGAGCTTTGTAATTTCTTCGAGGCCGTGTCCGGTTCAATGGTAGATGTCTTGAAAACGCTCAATTTATCAAAATTTTTCCTTATTAGGGAAAAATTTGCTCAAAAATGGAGCAACTTGACACTATTACAAATATTTCAACACTTTTACGTGAAAAAGAAGAGTGGAGAGCTTTTTTCTTTAATCTTCAAATCATATCTGAATCAATTTCACTAAAAGGAAGAAAAATGGAAAAAAGGGACGCAACAGAATTCACGTCAAGCTTAGAAAATGGGTTTTTAGAGTACACAGAGTTACAAAAAACGGAGAACTGAATATCGTCTAGTGGCTGATTACGGTATTTTATCCATCGACATTGAATTTGACTATCTGCAGAGCAGTGGCAATTCGCCACATTAGCTAAATGCTTTGCTTGATCTATTCAATCGTTTTTATTCTTGGTTCATTTAAAGAATTTACAGAAGTTACAGAATTTGCAAAAACACGAACATTTGCGTAAATTCTTTTCAAAAAGTACCCAAATTTGCTTTGAAAAGATCACAAATTAAATTATAAACAACTTTTATTTGAGGAAAATTCGAATTACATTCGTGCTTTAATTATTTAGAAAACAAAAACCGAATCGAGCACTCAACTCTAATACATAAAAATTTGGCATAGCAAAAAGTAGAAAGCAAATGAAATCAAATGAAAAGCAAATGAGCTCATCAGCTAACAAAGCACAAAAGCTCTTTGTCATTTCACATTGAGACTATCGAAATTCCATAAATAGCAAAAAAAAAAGGGATTCTATGTCTATTTTTAGTTTCTTTACATAGAACACACAAAAATGAGTTGGAAAAATAGAAAAAAAACGGAGAGAAAGCACAAATAGAGCAAATTACTCACTAAATGCGATAAGAAAGTTGAACATTCTCGTTATTCGAACGAAATTTTTGGTGTTTATCACAAAAAAAATTCGTTAGAAGAGTTCAGCAGGCAGAAGTTGATAAAAATGTAAAAATACAGTATTTAAAGTGAGGAGATGAAAGTGCTCGAGACGTGAGTGTATGCCTCATTTATTCTTCTGCAACATTATCGAGTTTTTGACGTAATTTCTCTTTTCGTAATTTTTTTATTTTATTAAGTATCAATTCATTATGATTAAGGCTTTATTGGATTCAGTTTTAAGGCACAAAAAACAAACTGTACATACCGGAAACATTCTAATCGAAGAGCACTTTTAGATAAAAATTTTCATTTTTTCGGTTCTATCAACTCTCGGATGACAAAATCTTGAACTTTTTAAAGGATTTTCAATTCTTTAAATGATAGTTGTAGGCTAAAAAAAAGCTTAATGACGTAAAAACCGGATGAAAAACCAACAAGAATACTCATTTTGGATATACAGTCGACGCTCGATAGTAAATCATTTTTGGAGAATCCCTTTAATGATTTACTATCGAGCGTCGACTGTACTGGGGGCGCGAAAAGGAATTTTCGAGCAAAATAAAAGAGCTCTTCTATTAAAATGTTTACGATAGAGATTGCTTTAAAAAGTGTCATTCATTTTTTTCTCCTTGGTTCTCAAAGGCTTCATGCATTTTTGATTATTCAATGATTAAATGTGGCGGATGTATAACGGATCACGCAGCGGCGACATTTGTGTGTTGGCTTCAGCCTAAATTAATGAAAGTTGTTAACGCAGAATTTCGAATATGTACCGTAAATACTGTAAGTACCCCACCCCCATAATGACGGTGTGGAGTGTTGCGTAGTCTAGCTTTGAACGAGTTTTTCTCGACACTGGTTTATGCTAAAATGCGCGCTTAGGTATCAAAAAAATAGCTGAAATTTAGGGCTATTTTTTGATACCAAAGACACATTTTTTGAAAGTACGGGCGCTTTGAAAAAAATGAAATACTAAAAAACTTTTGCGACACTGTACGAGGGGGGTCGGGTACTATTACAGTGTTTATGGTACTTTGCTTTACTAAATAGCACCGAATCGCAAGATAATCTTTAGCATCGCTTTATAAAGCTTGTGTATGGGATTAGGCTTGTAAGCGGAAAAAAAAAGCGGCAAACCTTTTTGGACAGTCATATTTTCACTTCTGGATAACGAAAAAAGTGCTGATAATTTCAATACGCTCTATCAAATAATATGTCTGGTATTTTTCTAGATTTAGCCGTTTTTTGAAAAGAGTTCAAAGCCGTTCTAAAGGCGTTTGAAAAAGAATAAACTACGCAAAAAATCACACTCAACACTTTTATTTTGCAACAAAAATCACATCGATTTTTCTTTGCTTTTCAATCCAATTCTCATTCATTCATCCACTTTGATTGTTCAGTGATTTTTTTTGAACATTTTCCGACATAATTTAGATGAGTGAGTCACCTGGATCGAATGGAGACGAAATGCCGATCGTGAGGGAAGTGAGGGCGAATTTAATCAAACTTTTATTGAATTGAATCAAATCATTTCACCTCACAAAGAGCAAATATAGCAAAAGAAGACTCAAAATGAAGATCTCATTCTGTTTTAAATGATTTTAACAATTGTTGCATTTACCTAGATTCATCAAAACGGCAAGCTTCGCTATTTGCCGCATTTGCGACGAGATACTCGTGGGCGGATTCGCGAGGCTTTCGGCCGGATCCCTCTCGACGATGACTCTGTCGAAATACCGAGTAGACGAGCTAGAGGTTTTACATTACAATTCATTTTTTAAGTTTTATTAGTTTTACAAGTATTTCTATGTTTTTTCAACTTTCAAAAATACAGTCGACTCTTTCTATAACGGAATGGAAGGAACCAAAAGTTCTTTCGTTATATAGAGTGCCGTTTTAGATAGCTTAGCGTCGGCCGGGACCAAAATTCCATTCCGTTATATAGAGTTTTCCGCTATATAGAGTTCCGTTATGGAGAGAGTCGATTGTACTATTTTAGTTCCTGACGACATTCGAACCACTGTGATGCAATGGGCTGATCGAATAAATGGAACAGTTGGTTGCAATTAATTGCGTCATATGAATAAAAAGTTAAAATAAAACATTGAAAACATTGAAACAATGCGAATGAAGCAAGTTTTAAGGTTGTCGATGACATTGGCCACATCATACCGTTCAAATTAAATGGGGCCGATCATGCTGAGAACTTTTACCCGCAAAATGCAACTGTTTGTGATTCATTTTAGACATTTCTTTAAGAAGTTTTTTTCTGGTAAATGATTTACTAATTGTAAGAACGAATCCTTTGAATTCAGGCCAATCGACTGATGGGCTCGATCCAAGAACGATGGATGTCACTGAGTCGACGAGACGGTCATCTCGATTATATCGATTTTCATTTTACGTAGGCTGCCTTTGCTAAAAACTCAAAAATTCTATTTTATTTTATTTTGAAAAATAGTGTTTTGGAGGTCTTTCGATATTAAGTAGACTTTTACAATACGAGACTTTTGCTCAATGTTCGCGGCTAGTTTTTTGATCTCACAGAAAGACTGTGAGTCTATAAAAAACTATATTCTAAAAACATTCTTCTAGTTTTGAGTATGATAATGAGGAGGAGCGTCGCCCAAGCCGCTCCATCCAACATCACGAATGAGGCTATCGGAATGGGGATCATGCGAGTTTCGACTGTGTCGTCGAGAACCCGACCAAAGCCAAAGAAAGCACAGTTGCGGTAAAAGTGGGAAAACGGATGAAGAATCACTGTTTTTTTAGATATATAGAGAGATCGGAGCCTCCACTGAACAACTTCGCAACAACATTCGAAGGATTGTGGAGGAGAGCGCGGCTGCACTCAATAAAAGTATAATAGCTTTTTCTTGGGGTCTAGGATAATATCCATTTCAATTTCGGCTTTTCTTAGATCTGACATCAATAAGTTTATGGCTTTCTAAAAATTTCTGATTTCAAAGATAAGAGGCTGGAGCTTGGATAAAGTTCCAATCCCAAAGTCTAGCTAGGACTGTCTTGCTAGTCTATAGTCTACATTAGACTGTGGCTATCGTGATTAATACACTTTCTAAATGACACTTTTTCGCAAAAACTATCGTAGAGTTTGTTTTGATGCATCGCTTAATTTGGGTTTTAGAGTATTGAGTGAATTCCCCTTTCGAATGATATCAAAAGTGAACTAATTAAGTGAAAAAGAACTGTTTTACTGCAGTACAGTATGTAGTTTTCGGAATCTCTTTTTTAAAAATGCATAAATCACAAAAGGCACATTTTTAATCTATCTACATTCCGTTTCCTTTACAAAATGTCAGCCTCATCCTCATGGACTTCATGGATTCCATCGCTTTCTTCCCTCTTTTCGTGGGTTACTGTTGGGGCTGCTGTATACGCTGGATACAAACTCGAGCTGCACAAAGTGCGCTATGAGGTATGCAATTAAGGCCATCAGTTGTTGTTTTCTTTGACAAGCTCACTTCAGATAACGTATCTGAACGGTGTTGAAATCAGTCGCACGGTCACTCGCGGAAAAGAGATTTTGTATACGTTTGGCAAGTAAGGAAATAAATTATAAAATTATAAATATAAATAAAATAAGCAACTTATAAATATGTGTATTGCTTTTTTGAATTTTAAATTTTCCTTTTTTTGTATTCAAAAAATTGAACCGGCTGAACCGCTAAAAGCCCGTTTAACCTTATTCACTTCGTTTTCCATTATTTTGGATGATTACCTTCCGAAAACAGCGACTTTCTTTTCTCTTAACGTTATTTTTATTTACAAATTTTTGAAAATAAACACTTTTCAACAACTTGATTTCACAAAGCGATACTGAAATGCCCAATATCAAATAAACGATTCGACATTTTTCGATGATTTTCAGAGTGAAATCTCTCGGATTCGACTCGATTGTTGCAAAATATTGGATTGGTGAATTGAAAACTGCCGGCTATTGTCATATGTGACAGTTTGAGCACTTCCTTCAAAAGAAACCCATTTTGGTGTCAATGGAAAAGTTGTAGAGAATCAAAAATCAAGCTTATATCCAAATTTTCAGAACGATTCAAAAACTGGTTATCAAGAAATGCCAAATTTACGAATTTTCACAAAACTTGCTTTTTAAGCGAAACTACTAAGTGTATCTTTTTGGAAATTTGGCTATAACCCTAATTTTTGATTCTCTACAACTTTTCTATTGACACCAAAATGGGTTTCTTTTGAAGAAAGTGCTCAAACTGGGCTGACAGCTGACATCTCCAGTCCTCGATTTTTGAGTCTCACACTTGTCTCACACACAAACCAAATTCCTACTACGAAAGAGGAATCCGCAAATTGCCTGTAAAATGGGCAGAAGTCGTCAATAATAATGAAAACTATTTGGAATGAATTGATGGTTTTATGTTGAATAAATTTTAGTTCAAAGTCCGGTAGTTTTCAATTCACCAACCCAATACAATACAACACGCCTAACGCTAAATGTTGAAGAAAAGACCCAAATATATGGGAAAAAAAGAACATATGATCTAGCCAGTGGGATTGAACCTTTGACCTTCCGATTAGGAGACTAGACTCTTAACCAAGCGGCCGTCTGGCGATTTACATTACTTTAAAATCAGGGAAATAAATATGGGTTGTTCTTGATGATATCGTAAAGAATGTTAAAAGTTGTGCGTACAGTTGAAAAGCTTATTCTTGATGTACCGAGGTCAATGCAATGAAAATCTCCAATCTCTTGCAAGTACATTTGTAGACCGTACTTCATATAACTCAACGAAAAACTTAAGAAATAAAGATTCTTTGGGTGATATGGGAAAAGAGTTGAAAGAACTAATAATGCCAGATTACAGTAACCTTGCTTTAGCTCATACCTTAATTCAATTTATACGTTACGACTAATTTTTACGTTTGAACAAAGTTGCGCTACGTGGTTTCACGAAGAAATCTCAACAATTGCGTTCAGTTCGCGGATTGGGCGTCCCACAGTCACAAGTGATTCATATCAGGTTCCAAATACGATTGTTAAGTTCCAGCAAGCTTCCAAATCTCTATCTACTTCTAGGCCCCTTAGTTCATTAGTTTAACACGTATAAGTCAGTGGACATGTTGTATAAAAGCAGAAAGGCATGTAAGCTATTGTAGGCATGTGAACACATTCTATTCAATCAAAATATTCAATCAGAAGTGCCATCATTTTAAAGTCTCAAGCTGGAATCTTGCTTGGTTTAAATAAAACTTAAACTTCAGTTCTATGTAAAGAGAAGTCTCCAAAAGCTGAACTTTTCTTTGTCATGAAAGCGTCTATAAATAGACACTGAAAAGCCATTCAAGGCTATTTTTAGGTAAATTCCTGTGTGATGCTGTTTGTGAAAAAAAAAAACTTTCAACAAAAAACACACATTTCTGAGCGATTTTCGTTGCGACAAAACAGATAAGGGCTAGTGGAAAACTGAATTCAAATAACGTTTTCCCAAGCCGATATCAGCAAGCGAGTCCCGGGTTAGAATAATTTTTTCAGCGGAATGTGATAAATGGTACACAAAAAAAGAGTAGATTAGACGAAGTTAAAAGTTTGCTAATTTTTTTGCTTACCTAACTAGAAATTTTGAGCTTCTTACTTCATAGTTTTTATAGTCTTCTTTCATAGTTTAACTGCTCGAATTTTCAGTTAATCTTTAGGATTACACTGATCGATTACAATTTATTGTTCTTTACAATAAACCTTATTGTTAGGATTACTGTAAAGTCTATTGTCTCACTACAGTAGGCTTAAACAGAAAGTATTCAACCGGATAGCTTTTGAGTCAAAGGGTTTGAAAGAGATTCGATTTTTCCGTTTGAATACTTTTAGTCCTCCGGCTTTTAGTCCATTGTGACAGAGACTATGTATATTGTATACCAGAATCGTGGAGAATACAAGTATTTAGTCTCAATTTACAAGCCTGAATATCTTTTGATATGCCAAATCTCAAAAATATTTAGTCTTGTCGACTGAATATTTACTTTTATCCCGGAATACTGCATCAACTCTGGCGCTTGACAACCTTTTGCATTCGAAAGTATGCTTTTGCTTTGTGACCTGGGCTACTGTACTCTTCTTCATTTGGCTATGAAATTCCAATACCCGTAACTTGTCAATAGTAGATCCGAATTTATTGAACTATCAAGACAGCAGTTACCGTTATAACAACGGTTATAACAGTAAAGTCAACGGTTATGTCAACGGTTATAACAGTAAAGTTTATGAATGCATTTTTGTGTAGTTTTGTTCACAGCTACTTTATCCGATGCGGATATCTTGAAATCTGCAAAAAGAGTTGGCTCTACTACATTTTAGTGGTTCCATGCGCTCCTAAAACTACTCTAATCAACTTCCGGTTTACATTCGATCAGCCCAAATTTAATATCATTAATTGAGTCTTGTGATTTCTCATCAAATGCTACAAAAATTGTTCTGATTGAAGGATAACGGACGTTTGCTTACGGTAGTTTTTGCAGATTTCAAGCCCGGGACTCAACCAAGATTGTTTTTTGAAAGAAAACTTTATTTTAGATTTCGGCTAAAAAAGCACAACAGTGCTACAAGTGTAAGGCATTCGTTTTTCCGCATCGGATAAAGCAGTTGTGAACAAAACTACACAAAAATGCCAACTCTATTCCATTTTAGTTTACAATTTCCCTAGTGCCTTACCGTAATCTTCGTAAAATAAAGGCGTTCCTCCTTATCAAATTTTGTCGAAATTTGTCACTCAAACAGTCATTTATCTCTTCCTTTAAAAGTTCTCCTAATTTTGAAGTAACTACAGGGTCCGAGAAAAGTATTGTCGTTCTTCCAACCATTATATCTTTTTTCAATATTCAGCTTTTAACATATTTATTGAAAAAAATAACAGATAAATAACCAAAAATTAAAATTTATAACGTGTTCAAAATTGGATCCCTTGGCTTTGATGCAGGCTTTCAGACGTGGGATCACTGAGCCGACGGTGGCACGGAGGTAGTTGGCATCAATATCGTTCCAGGCAGCGCTTATCAAATTCGACTCGAAAGATGACGGAAGCTTATCAAGCGGGCCGAAACTCCCAATGCACCTCCGATCCTGTTTTCCGATGAAATATTATTCTCGGTCGAACAAAGCTACAGTTGGCAAAATGGTCGGATTTGGGCTACGACATCTCCAGGAGCTTCCTCTATCGTTCAACATCGCCAAAATCCAAACTCTGTCATGGTTTGGGCGGGAATTTGCGCAACAGACAAAACCCTCTTGGTTTTCATTGATCCCGGCGTGAAAATGAACTAGGATGTTTATCGAAAGGAAATTCTCAAAGATGTGGTTCTTCCCCGGATCCAACAGCACTTTGGCAACCAAGTTTGGACGTCCCAACACGACTCCGCGCCCTCTCATCGAGCAAAATCCGTTCAGGACTGGTGCAGGGCCAATTGTTTTATTTGTAAGCTTAAAGGTTGTTATGAATCTATTGTTTACGTGGTTTTCATTTGCTGAAAAATAAAATATTCAGTTATTTCTTGTCACCCTGTATACAGAGGTGGATGAGGATATACGAACACACGATTTTTCTGATCCAACATTAAATAATTATATTTCCAAAGTTTTTTTGATACCACCTAACTTTTTAATAGTAGAAGCTGATAATAAACGAATTTCAGAATGAATGCGGACTTCCAGGCGGACTTCCAAAGAACCGTTTATGCCTCGATATGTGACAAAAATCGGCTTGGTGCGGGCGGAAACGGCACCGTTTATCGTTTGAGAAACGCTTTGCCGTGAGTTTAAATGTTCTAGCTCTGTTTAAAAAAAGTCTTTTAGGATATAGTAGACAGTATCAATTTCCATTATCGCTTTATCAATATCAATGAAACTCGATAAAAAATAGTTAAATCGATATGGTCGTGAAAGAATTTCTTTCAGCTCGAGTGTGATCAAGTTGTACCATTCAAAAAATATATTTCGTGCCATGGAGAAAGAAGCCCAAGCTTTGGCGGCCCTTCGTCATGGAAATATCGTTCAATTCTATGGGTTGATCAAGGAGCAAATGAATGGACGAGAGCCGATTTTTGGGATCAGAATGGAGCTTTGTGAGAGGGGATCTTTGGATAAATGTGAGTCGAGATAGACAAATTTTGATAGTTTCCGCTAAATGAAGATGAAAAGGGCATCTTATATCCTGACTATTTTCCAGGGGTCCTTGATGGAACGACAACTTATTCGATTCGCACAGTAATCCATTGGGCTGTGCATCTCTTTAAGGCTCTCGACTACCTCCATGAACAGAAAATGATTCATCTCGACATCAAGACCGAGAAGTAAGGAAAGAAGTTTGTAGCTTATCATTAGCTAAAATTTTTTCTAATGTCATCGAAATCCTCTGAATTGAAATGGGGGATTGGGTTACTGACTTCTTAGAACTCTTGGCAATATCTATCCTATTCATAGATGAAATTTATCTCATTACTATCAACAGTACTAGGTTGACGCAAATGAAGTTTCGGTCGGTAAAAAAGGTTCTATTTTTTGGGCAAAAACGCCGCCGAATCACA